ATGTGTTCTCTGTGCATCAGTCTGCATATTCTCCATACTGTTCTCTGTTCATCAGTCTGCATATTCTCCATAGTGTTCTCTGTACATCAGTCTGCATATTCTCCATACTGTTCTCTGTACCACGGTAAACTGTAAATTCATATTTTACTCTTTTGCCCTTTAACTTCCAAGATGTGATTGTTGATTGTCCCCTTTAGCTGCTACACGTTTTGTTGTAAATTAGTTTCAAGAATTTGGTGTTAGATCAAGATACACGGTAACAACTTCTACCTTATATTAGTTTGAGTATTCTCATTACCTGTTTTCTGGATAAAGTATGGATATTAAAGGGAGAAGATACATTTTAATCACTTTTGGAAGTGAAAGGGTTAAACCTCATGTTGCAGTAATATATATATATTTTTTAATCGAGTTTCATATTGACAAACAAATGACAATTACATCAATCGATTGATCAATCTGAGGTAGGCTTAAAACAAAATACAAGACTCCTTACAAATAAGTCACCTATTATAACAAAATAAAGTTAAAAAAAAATCTTAAACTTAGGCTATTTTCAAAGTTACTCTACTTATGACACACTTGCTCTACTTTTTCTTTTTCAGTTCACTCCTTATGTCTACAACATACTTGAAAGACAAACCACACCAATCGACATGAAGTCAGTAATTTCACGGGCCAGTACTGATTATGTCGGAGGGTAAGTATCACGTCACGCATTGGTGGCCAATATTATTGTTGGCCAATATTAATTGCCATTATTCGATGCCAATATTATTGGCATTATAGTGTTTACTGATTTTGTTAGTACCTGCACCAAGCTAGTGAGAAGATCCTACAGGAGATCCTGCAGGAGATCTTTTGTTTACCCAATGAGTACTTCAGCTTTTCACCCCTAAGATCTGAAATGTTGTGCGAGATTTAACGAAAGAAATTCCTTGGCATTGATTGAAATGTTCACGGCCTCACATTAGAAGTTAAACTTAATTTGCGGGGAGTTTCTTTCGTTAAATCTCGCACAACATAAATATTCACACGCCAGATGTAACTTTATCTTGTATAAATGCGTTTTACACATTTTAAAGTGTACATAGCTCAATCTTTATCCCTATAAAATACATTTTAGGCCATGCTCTTGTGCTTTGTTTCAAACGCGGAAGTCGGCGGTAAAAACAACTCACTTGGGCTACTACCGTTTATCACCTGGGAGGGGAGATAATTTAAAATTATGGCGGCAAAAAGAACCTGGAGACCTGTATTTCCAGTAGTTTCGTTTCATTTCGGTTGTTTCGGTGGTTTCGTTTCGGTTGTTTCGGTAGTTCCGGTGGTTTCGTTCCGGCGGTTTCGTTTCGTTGTCTCGGGTTTTAGTACATGCCGACCTTTGAATGTAAAATGGATAATCAGATGAACAATTTCATGAATAAAGAGGTTTTCCTTCACTGTGCTATCACTACTATATTTCTACGTAAAAATCGATATACTGTCATGGTTTGCAAGGAACTTTAGAGAACTGATGCACTTCTTGTAAAGAGTCGGGAAATTAAGTCCAAGTGTGGTAGTCTGGCCTTGTTATTGTTTATGCAAGTCCCCATTAAAACCAGCTGTAAAGCTGAACTGGGCTAGCCTATCTAAATGACGCAAGTATATGATAAATAAATGAATGATTGCTCAGTTCGGGTTTTATTTGGTAATCGTAGGATATTTGTCGCAAACTGCAACTATGCCTGTCCCTTAAAAAATTCCAAGATTAATTTAAAAAACATGAAAAGAGGGGGAAAAGGGATTTTGAGAGTAACAGGGCTAACAAACTTTCTTTTTTGTTCTATAATTTGACAGAAACGGCCTGTAGGGCACTGGCCAAATATCGTGTCTATACTCCTTGATAAAGTTCATGAACTCAACACTATGGAGAAAATCGTGTTCTTCTTTGATAATGTATGCCTATTGCAAATGCATTAAGTAAATTCACCATCTAGATTTAACTTATTCTACCTGATTTCTACTCAAGTTTTTCATCTTCTTACTTGTCTGTTTGTATACTTTTCAGCTTGTCCAGAGCACGTATTTCTTGACTCAAGTGGATCCGCGCTTGACTCTGGTTGTTATATTCAACAGTAAAAGATCAGAGAAGGACTCTTATGTAACCACGTTTTTTACAGGTAAGTGAACGAATAGTAAGAAGTGTTGGAAGGATTTATTCATGATAAACATTCCTCGCATGAAAAACAGCCACCAAGTTGAATTCAGTTGACCCGTAAACTCAAATACATGTCCATTAATTATCCTAGATCAAACTGAGGTGCTGCGTTTGGAAGGAATTTTACAAGATATTAGTTGATAATGTGGACTTTGTGACCCTAAAAAGTTTGCACAGCCGGCAGTTCGAGGGTTAGCCCTTCATCAGTCGGATCAACTTGCTTGACGATGGAAAACTCTTTACAGAGGCCAGTTTCACATCATCAACTCTGTAGCGTTTACGGCGACCAAAATCTAAATTCTCAAGTTCAAGGGCGTGTCGCTCCAAAACGCGGTTAATGAGGTGTTTGGGACTATTTTACAGATCGAAATGACAACCCAAAGTTGACTGTTTGCACGATTCTTTATTCTTGAAAGGCAATCGACCACGAACCACAATCAGTGACGAAAATAACGATTATTCTGACAGTCAATCAATCTATCGAACGATCGATCGTAAACTGAAACAACAATACAACGAAGTTCTATCAATCTAACGAAAAGCCGCGGAATACATGATCAAAGAATCGCG